CAGAATGAAAAAACATCTGTCTGCGGTCCGCAGCTGTTGTGCTGAATACTTCGGCGTTGCATCCCACGTTATTGGTGAAAGACAAGGCATCAGCAAAACAAGTGTTTTGGCAACTAACATGGTAGCAGCAGGTTATGGCTATTAATAAAAGAATCCCTTCATACTTTGTCACGTTAACACCAAATGTGCATAGCATACTTTTCATCCTTTATTATAGGGGTGCAGTCAACAAATGCTGTTATGAAAAATGCAAATGAGTGATAAACTACTATTACTCAGGATGACGCCGTTATGCCACTAACATAGTTATTGTGTCAAAACGCTGAGGCGAATTTTCAAATTATTCATTCTTGATGAATTTGTCGGCCTGGTAACTAAATGTGTCTGCTCTTAGTAAAAATTTTCTATCTCTATTGTACCTTTGGATTTTCTAACCATGCATCAAGCTAATAATCCGTTGTTTTCAATTGTTTGAGTCGTTTATTAGGGATTCATGGAGCATGCAGCAATTTATATCCGGAGCGGGATCCGCAACGACCTTGCATTCGTGACGAACCACTTTTTGTATACTTCAGAGGCATAGGTTTCCAGTTTTCACCTTTTTTAGTTTGGATGCAGTTCTTATTTGAACCGGGTTTATAGCTTGGTTCACTACCAAATCCTAGAATGCTTGTCACTTTCCGCGGAATTAGAAGTTTAGAAACAGATTTTGTTAATTAATGTAGCATATTGAACGGAGTGTGGGGAGTGCAAAACCCGCTATCTTAGTTTGGCAACGTTAGCCAGATCGATCATGTAGGTTGCCTCTTGCTTGTTCTTCTTTCTTTGCGTTCGTTAATAACGCTTTTAGAGTCTTCTTTTTCTCTGTCTGGCTTCTTTGTGTTTGTTTTGCCTCAGTCTGCTAAGTACTGTCAACCCTCTTCGAAATTAACCATATCCATAGGAAAGCCCTGTTAGATCGGTATGAAGGGAACTAAATGGCGTCGACTTCGATGTTAGTGCGGGTTTCTAATAATGTTTACTACAATGCCGGTTACTAATAGCCTCAGAATATCTAAGGCAGATGACTTATATAACATGATATGCAATAAGCAAATAACTCATCCAAAGCCGGGATTTGCAGCATCTGCCTTTCCTCTGCTCTTTGTAGGTAAGCCTTAAATCAGAGCACATGTTAAATTCAATTGTTTACTGTTCATATAATTTCAGCATGTGTTAAAGGTGTGTCTAGAAATGGATACCTTCATTCAGGGAAAGTGCTACTCTAACTCAGTTGATCGAGCATCGAACTGACAATCTAAAGACAGTGGATTCAAGTTCTAACCAAGATTGCGTATCTTTCATATGGAAAATTGGTAGATGAGCAACTGTGTGCGCGGAGTAGACAGATGGTCAGGTGTAAACCACGTAGCAGTATACTTACAAAAACTTTTTCTCAGAGTTAAGACCGCATGATGGTTAGATTACAGTTCTTTTTCGTTGGGAATTAGTCCTTGTTCTGTTTCAATTTGACGGTAGAATATCATTCTGAACGAAGTTGTCTTGTAGACAAGAAGTTGAATCCTTCCTGACCGTTGCATAGTTCATGTCAGGCTTTCATTGTCTCAGTTGCACCGACGACGATACATTTAAAAGTATCTCGCTGCAGAATGCTTTTGTACGAATTGTTTTCTGTATAATTCATAATCTGAGGATTTCCGAATAGCATAGGCGCAACGTGGTTCACATGAATATCGCATAGAAGGGATGAATGCCACATGGTATGTAAATGTAGGAAAAGCCTATGGAATGTTGTCAGGCAGTTTGCCCGTATTTTCAGCGTATCCTCTTTAAATGAAGCCTTTCGCGAAGGGGAACCTTTGCCAATCTTACTGGTCAGTCTCGTTTCGAATTGACAGACTTTGTTTTAGTTATACTTGGGAAGGAAAAACAGTTGAAGATCCTGAAGTATTGCTTCTAATCAAAACAAGGTCTTCGCTCGTTCAGAATCTCACGCAGTACGTCGTTCAGCGCCATACCTACGAAGTACCGGAAGTAATCGCAGTAAAGGTAAGAGAAGCAGTATGGTTGCTGGTGAAAAGACGCGGAAGGTGAGCGACAACATAACGTAGTCGTTGGTCACTAGAGTACTGCTTTGAGCGAAATGATATGGAATCGTCATATGGCATTCGTTGACCTCCCTTACAATAGCTTAACGGTTAGGATGACCCTTTGGGTACTATTCCTCAAGGTACGATCATGAACATTTATTCGCGAAAACTTGCTGATAAACTCTAGCCATATTGCAGTTTTCGTTTCTCTGCTTAAGTACCATAAAAGATTTGCATTGAGCGAAGGAATAAGGATTCCTTGTTGTGGAGGTCATAACAGTGCTGGCGCTGCACGTATATCGAATTTATTTTTAATATAACTGTAGTAAGCGTAATTTTCTTTAATAAGTTTACGTGACTTTAAGGGTACTCCCTTTCCCTCTAGTTGCGCAGTGATCATTTAACCAGGCCGTGACTCTATATTATTGCATCTCGCATCTATTTATTGGTTAAGCGGCCTCTCTCATCACTGATGGCGTTTCAGAAGCATGTACTACTATTTACGTGGCGTATTTGTAACATGTAAACTTCGGTTAAATCTGCGATATGTTAATATTCATAATTCTTCCAAACTGGGCTATTTGTCGCCATGGCATCTCCCCCATGTTTGTAGACTGGACTCTCGGCATCGTTAACCTGTTTGATTTATTTTTTACAATGGATAATGAGTCATGTTCTTCCATGTGGCAGTTCTGTTGAAGTCGTGCAGTTTCGCCTGACCGACTTATCAGTTTGGTTTCTTTTGCACCACTAATGCATGCCAGTTGTCGGCTTGTAAGGGGCATGTGGCCAACGTATTTTTAACAATTGTCTTATTGTTTCATACTCAACGCTATGCTAAAGGCTAACCTTTTAGATCATGGATGGAAGCTCTAAGTATTTAGAGTGGCTTGACAAAGTGTTGCCGAAAATGCCTTGAGTTACGAACTACGCGAAACGCAGTTCTTCGAAAAGGAACGACTTGCAGTTACTGTTAGTTTCTGGTTTTTATCGTATGCGCACATTCTTGAATTTGTAGTAAATCTGTAGTATTCTCTTGTTGTCCGTGATGTCGTATTCAAAAGTCAGTCGGTAGAAATGCTCCTGCGTATTTTTTTTCACATTGGCACACTGTAAATGCTTTGTGGTTTAACTTTCAGGATCCAGCGTTTCATGAGCGAGAGTGAATTACGTTCTCCTTCTGCTGAGTACGATGCCGCTAAGGTCTACTGGGGTGGCGTTTCGGCTAGTGTTGATGGCATGCTGGGCGGCTTGGTCGAACTTTCTTCACCTGACGTTGCTGATTCCCGCCAGTTTATCAGAAAGCTGATTCGAAAGGTAGTTTGTTTTCGTTTTTATGCCTGTTGATTGAATTTGGACTTTAAACGATTGCCATGTACAGAAATGGCTATTGTAGGGAGTTTTTGTTTTATACACTTGTTATTCAGATTTTGGCTAAAGTCCCACAGGCAGACCCCCGCTGATTGAAAAACCATATGATACCAGTCATTTAATTAATTATGATCAGTACATTCATTCCATTTTCACAACCCGGTATTAATTTTGGGTTCCGGGAGTGACAGTTCAGGGGATTTCTTTGTTTTTGGTCTTGCACCGTCCTGAAGAGTTTCACCTACATTTCTAAGGTGCAACGATGTCAGATTTTCAGTATGCCTTAGCCATCTCGACACGGGTCTGCTTCTGCTATGTTGCTGCCGGCAATGTGGTCGTATAAAACCAGTCCTGACATTCATCTCACATGTCCAATTGCAATGATTGTCTCTCGACCTGGAGAATGATCGATTCAGAGACCAAGGTATATCGAATTGCTGCATTTAGAAGCTTCTTGAACTTCGTTGCAGTAGTGGCCCTTCGATGGAATCTCATTTCTGCTGCTTATACTCGAGGCTCTCATCAAGCGCATTCATTCGATGGCAGTTGGCATTCTGGTACCTCTTACGTCTGTTAATGCTAGTTGGAATGTATCGGTTGATGCAGATGTTGTGACATCATTCAGATTTCCCTTTTGCCTTCAGCCCTTTTCCCTGTCTCTCGTAGACTTCCTGCATTTTTCTTTATGTTTTTGCACAATGCAGTGTACGCTTCGATCATCATTAGGGATAAGATTTTTTCGAATCGTTCTTAGGCGATTTTATTCTTCTAATGATTTATTTAGAAACGGAAATGCATATTCTGACCGGGATTCAAACACCAAACTAGCTTCCGAGATGCTAATAAATGATGTATGTTTTCCTCTGTTACGAGGAATGAGGACATTATGTACTGCCTTGAATAATGCTTTAATGTCGCGTTTCGTCAGACTTGACCCTCTGAGGTACGTTAATAATGTTATTTTTATCCACTTCTTGATGTTCTCATTATTATTTGCACTGTCTTTCATCCAACTTATTGCTCACCATTGTCTATTCAGAGAGTAGGCAGCGTAGTGAGAAGATTTCTCTGTGCTTTATTGGAGATTAGCGTTAATATGATTATTCACACGTGATCGACTTGGGATCTTTGCACTAGCAGTTTGTGGCTGATTTCCATAGTTCGTTGCGGCACCCCTGCATATTCTATCCCGTTGGAACACGAAAAATAAGAGCGCTATTGGATAAGGAGTGATTTAGTAAAACTGTTTTCATGAGGCAAATTTCACCTGCCTGCCACGGTTTTAAGACACAGACGGCAATACGTTACTGCCGGGTTATGCCGGACTGTCGTACGCTCGTTTTTGTTGTAATTCCGTTGTCTTAAGCTTCCTGATTATTGCCGGTTTAAGAACCACTGTAGTGTAGCCCCTTTCGTGCTTAGCATTACCCGTTTAGTGCCACGACAGTCTCACAAAGATAAACATTGTTCGGATACGGTAAATCAGGTAGTATGCCTCCAGTGTCGTAAAGTTGGATTGGTTCTCTCATTTCTTGCATCTTGCTTTATAGTTGGAGCGTATTTATAGAAAAGAGTTCTGCCACTCGCTTCTATATGTCATTTTTGTGTAATTTGGAGAAAGCTAAACCGATCTGTAGCGATGAAGAAGTGGAGGAATAATTGGAGGCCGTGTCTTCAAGTTTTTTTACGCATTCACCCTCAAATGTGGTCATGAGTTCCAAGTATTAGCCAAAAGAGCGTTATTGCAGATACAAGCTGCAGAAATTGATACCTTAGAAAGATAGCTGCCTTGACGAGGCTAGATAAGTTTTGAACATGATAATTCGAACTGCGTTTGCATTTTTTCACTTCTTAAAATCGAAAGATCACAGCTGCGATGTTTTGGACACAGTGGTTGTACGAAAGAAGAATCACAAGGCGGTTCTCGAAAGCCATATCGCAGGATATATCTACGGTCCGATATTTAGGGAATATTGACCGTGTGGCATTTTCATTTCAAGAATCACAGTCCAAGAAACTTGCTTGATTGGCGGATGATCGGTCTCAATAGTGAAGTCTCCTTAGCATTCTGCCCCACAACTCTAATCGGCTGTAAAATGAATGAATGAGTTTCGTCAACTCCTGAACTTCACCACTTTACTAGGCGACTCTCTTAAGTTTCATGTCAGGTGTTCTTCGATAAGGCAAATACTTTTCAGCATATTCGTTGTGGCATGTCATTTCTTACATCGTCGTCGACGTTGTCCGCACGACACGAAAATTGAGGTTGCATATTTGGGAGTCGCAGTTAATTAACAATTCTGCCTCTAACTAACCGATATGCTATAACATCTGTTTAATGTTAGCGACCTTCATCATCTTCCATTACCGCTTCTCCTTTCAGGTCGCGGAGGCAGACACGTCAGACACTGCTTCTAACCTTCCCGATCCTGTGCCAGAATCTAGCATTTGGCAGAACACAGCTGCAGTCTGGAGCCGACTTCTTACATACATTTTCACCAGGTTAATTTTGGCCGTCTCCGGGGTCTTTTGCCAGATGGCTGCGCAAGTAGAAGTTGCTTAGTCTTCTTTTATAGAGGCATTCGCAACACATGACCAGACCATCGCAGATGCGACTTCTTAATCTGAAGAAGCAGCGGTTGTACACCAAGGCTGTTGCGGTTGTCTGTATTCTACACGTTACGAGACGCGTAACGCCAGCGACTCGTCTCAGGATGCCCAATTCATCAGCTTTTACTCGGGATCACAGTTTTTCAGTTATGGTACACGATTCATGACTGTAGGTAAGCATGAGGATGAAGATCGATTTGAATACCCAGAGCTTAGTCTTCGGACTTAATCACAGTGGTTCACGCTAGTTCATGCAGTACGCCACCGGCTACTCCAGTTTGCAGTCGATTTCTTCCTCAAATTTTCCAACACTGATAAATACGATTCCACGGAACTTGAACTTCTCCACCTGCTCCACTGCCTCTCCGTTAATCTGAAGAGAGCAACGGACAGGAGAATGAGAAAACACTAGGCTTTTCGTTTTGACACGCATGCCGGTCACGTCCCACTCGACTGCGACCTTTCCAGAGAGCACTGTAGATCAGTTTCAGAAGATGCCAATAAAACAAGGTCGTCTGCAAGCAGCAGCCTTCTCGACTCAGCATCTCCTACACCGATACACTAATCGCTTTGGCTGCGCCTGACTATTCTATCCATGTGCAACACAAACAGGACAGGGGGCAGAACGCAGCCTTGGCGGAGACCAGTGCCGAAGCTGAAAGGCTTCGATTTAACGTTGTTTACTCTGACGCAGCACCTGCTATCAGAATAAGGTGTTTGGATGGCCCATAGCAACTGGCCAGCGATCCCGTATGTTCGCAGGCATGTCCACCGATCGCAGGATCCAGGCATAGGCAGGTCAACGAAGCACATGTACACCGTATGGGCGAACTCCCACGATTTCTCAACAGTCTGGCGCAGGGCAAATATATGGTCAGATGTATACTTCGATCGGGCCGGAAACCACGCTGCTCTTGTTGTCTGGGAGTCAGTTATTTCGCGGCACCTCCTTTCTAGCATCTTTGTGTAAACTTTACCTGGCAGGCTCAATAATGTTATGCCCCGATAATTAAAACAGTCCCTATGGTACCCCTTCTTGAACAGGGTAC